GGGGGGGGGGGGGAGGAGGAGGAGGAGGAGGAGGAAAAGAGGCCTAAGAGAGAGAAAACCCGATCTCCCACTTCCCACACTGACCTAGATTTACCTTCCTAGGAAGATCTTGCCCCTCCTGCCCCTGTCCCCCAGCAGTCGTTGCTGTCCTCTGCCCCTGTCCCCATTTCTGAGGGCCAGGAAGCCAGGTGGGGCAGGAGCTGGGGCTCCCTGGCAGGGCTGCCCAGCCCCCACTGGCTGCGTACACAGAAGGAAGATCCTTGCCTCCTTCCAAATCATTTTTCTAAGAACAAAAACTATGTACAAATGAATATTTCCATCTTTATTTCAAATTCTAGGTTTCAACTGCAATATTAATGCTACTCCACAGTGTAATTTACTTGTAATAATATATCATTATTTCTATTTTACAGTTCTCTTCTTAAAGTAGTAAAGCAAATGTTTAAAACAGCACAAATCCGCAGCCCCACAATTCCCCATTCAGGCTCAGAATTTGTGCTGTCCTTTCAGAATTGCGCATAATTGAAAACAATGAAAACCCCCATGTGCTAACCGCGCTAGTCATTAAAACATTTTTTTAGTTTGGAATAAAAGAGCGTTCTTGTAGCTGTGGTTATTATTTATTTATTTACTTATTTATTTTTAGAAACCCCACATCAGCTTGCTTCCTGTTCCCAGACTGACATCTGCTGGGGACGTGGCGCTGCCCTGCTCCAGAGGAGGCCCGCAGCCGGCTGCCACTCCTGCTGTGCCTGCAGGGCAGGGGGAGCCGCAGCCCCCGGGCCCAGAAACCTCGCTGAGACCCGGCCTGGGAGGCCTCGAGTCCCCCCAGGTCCCCGACCCCCCCTGGCTTTAGCAAGGAGGCCCTGGAACTGCAGGGTCTGGGCACAGGGTCCTGGGTGTTAGTGGCTCAGGCCAGGAGCTGATAGGCAGGCTCAAGGCCAAAAACAGTCACGCGGGAGCGCTGACTCATCCCTGCAATCTCAGGACTTGGGGAAGCTGAGTCAGAAGGATCACAAGTTCGAGCCCAGCCAAGCCAACAATTAAATGACTCAGCCAGACTGTCTCAAAGGGGAGAGGAGGGCCAGCGATGCAGCTCGGTGTAAAGACCCTGGTTCAGTTCTCAGTACCACAATGAAACACAGTACTGAGCAGGACACCTTTCGGCCAGTAGCCCAGAGTGGGCAGACACAGACTCACCCCCTCCTGCGGAGGGCTCTGCCCGTCCCCCTAGCTTTCCCACTGCCTCGCTCAGGTCCTCCCGCCCTGCCCCAGCGGCCCTGCCCACCCTAATTGGTATTTATAATGTGCGCTGCTCCCTGCACGGGGGCTGAACTCAAAGCATTTGGTAAACATGGGGAGGATAAATAATGAAATAAATCTGTGGTGAATGGATGGATGGATGGACAAGGAATTGACCCTTTTTTGTCCTTAGATTTTATAACACATTTGACAAAGCACGACTGAAGGAGAGTTAAAATAACATTTTCCAGGTAATAGTCTTCTAACCAGATGTTCAGATGGAACAAAATGGGAAAGAAAGACCACAACAGGCACACTCCATGCCTTCCCTGCCTGCTTTTCTGGTAAAAGAAGGTGGCAGTGACATTCAGCCCTTATAGCCTGGCTTCAGATGGGAAGCTGGCATGGACAGTTGACACTCAAGAAAGTTAAACATAGTAACTGGGAAGGTGTGAAGGTGGTGGGCTGGTGACAAACAGAAATGAATTCGAGGCCAGTTTCTAAATGGCAGCCAGTGTTGAAAGGGGCCCGGCCACCAAAGTCTGGGCATGATGACTGTCACCCTTGAGCACCGGGCTAGGGCTAGTAAGTCCTTAGGGAAAATGACATAGACAACCAAAGTGTGATCCAAGATAGAAACTCTGAGATGTGATGGTTCATACCAGTAATTCCAGCACTAAGGAGGCTGAGGCAGGAGGATTGCTTTGAGTTGGAGGCCAGTCTGAACCACAAAGCAGGCCCTTGTCTCTCTCTCTCTCTCTCTCTCTCTCTCTCTCTCTCTCTCATACACATTAAAAAAATCCCTCACAGAAAGCCCACCTGAAAAGAAAGAAGAAAATCTATAAGTCGGTCTTTAGTAGTTGTGTTCCTCATCCACAAATTCAACCAATGAAGATTGAAAAGAAAGGATGACACTGATTTGATTTTATTTTTTCCCACTGAGTTTATTGGTACATTTAAGGTATACAGTACAGTTACATTCATCACTGGGATCCTGCACCTTCACATGACAGCTCTTGGTTCTCATTTTTTCCCCATACCCCTGCCCTCCCTTCACCCCCTCCTTCCTCCCCTATTTACAAAGACTCCTTTTCCATTTTTTCCTTTTCTCATATCTTTTCTTTCCCCTCCCCTTCCCACTTCCCCTACACCTTTGGCCCCTTTCTTCCTATTTCACGTTACACTGTGATTTTATTTAAAGAACCTGAGCATCCTTGGAGTCCGCCACTCACAGTGTCCCGGAGTGAATGCCCTGCAAGTACAGAGTGATCTTTGGGGGACTGCAGAGGGCTGCAGAGGGATGGCACAGAGGGTTAAAGCCAGCACCTCCAGCAAGCTGGGAAAGTGCTCTATGGCTGAGCTACATTCTCAGCCTCTAAGGGGTGAAATGACAGCGACATCCACTTTATCAGATTGTTTATCGGTTTCTTTCTTTCTTTCTTTTTTTAAGAGTCTTGCTTTGTAGTTAGGGCAGGCTTTGAACTCACTCTGTAGTCCAGGTTGGCCTCAAACTCACAGTGATCCTCCTGCCTCAGCCTCTCAAGTGTTGGGATTACAGACTGTGCGCCACCTCATTTGGCATCTTTTGCTACTCTTAAATGTTATATAGAAAGATAACGTATTCATCAATAAACCCAATTTTATGGATTATTTTGCTGTTATTTTGTTTGTTTCTTTTTTGAGACAGCTCTCATTACATTCTAGGCTGGCCTTGAATTTGCTGTGTAGCTCAGGCTGCCTTTGAACATCCAATCCTCCTGCTTCAGCCTCCCGAGTTCTGGGATCACAGGCATGCACTACCATTCCTGGCTTGCTTTTGGTTGTTTGTTTAACTTTTTTAAAAACAGAGTTATGACCCCACCTGCCTCACAAGCACAAGGGCCTGAGTTTGATCCCTGGTCCAGAAAAATAAATAAATAAAAATAGGGTTATGCTAAGTTTCCCAGGCTGAACTTGAATCCGTGACCCTTCTGATAGTTGGGATTGCAGGGATAAGCCACCATGTCCAGCTCAAGTGCGATTTCTAGAGGCAAAAATGGCTAACTATAGGTTAAGAAGAAATTATTTTGCTGGAGAGTAGAGTTCGAGTTTGAGAATGGCATCCTCAGGCACTACTATTTAATTTATAAGCTATTTATCTCATTCTCTGCAATTAGCACTTAGTAATTTGTTCTTATCCAGGCCCTAGAATCAATTATCATAGTTGCTATTAAAGTAAATGCCACACTGTATAAAAGCAACAATTCTGCAATGACCGGCTATTAAGTCATACTGATGTAAACGATTCTGAGTTTCTTTTAGTCTGGAGCAGGCTTTACATTTTGGTCTCACTTCTAAGTCAACGCATTAATTTTTTGATGGCTCTTAAGATGCTTTCAGAGCCTTGTAGTCTCACAGCGGGGAGCAGAATCCTTTTCAAAAGAGCCACGGCCCCTCAGAATGCACTACCTGTAAAAAACAAGGGCAATGGGGATTAAAACATTTTCAAAGAACGGCAGTTCCTCCTCCACAGCCTTCAGCTCTCTCGAGGAGCAGCTACTCCAGGCCCCAGGCCGTCCCGGTCTGGGGACGAATCTGGGAGGCTGCAGGCTCCCCCATTCACCCACCTGGAGCCGGGAGACCAGGTCTGCAGGGGAGGGAGCCCCTCTGTGCTGCCCTGGCTGCCTGACTGGGAGCCGAGTCCACCGGGGCACCTCCTGGGCTCCCGTTTCTCCGCGGGCTGTGGGGAAGGCACGGCAGGATTTCCCAGGACGCGCCACGGAACTGCTGCGGTCACCCGGGGGGATGGGGCGAAGGTGTTCCAGGTGCGGGCTCCCTCCCTTGTCCACCGGAGCAGGGGCTGGGGCTCCTGACTAGGGGAGGCCTCTGGTGGGATAAAAAACAAAACAACCTGGGCTCTGGCTTTTGTTATTTAAAACTCAAGCGCTCAGAAGGAGTCAGCTGATTCCAGCGAGAATGGCGACAGTGGACCCCAACTGGGAAAAGATGTTGAGGAGGGAAAGGAAAGCGGAAGGGGCAGTGGAAGTAAAGGGAAGGGAGGAGGAATCTGGACGAGAAGGGGCAGGGAAGGGAGAGAAGAAAGGGGCAGCCAGCAGCTGGTTGTGCTTTGGCAGAGCCCGGGCCCTACCTACGAAGAGAGTGCCAGGGACGCGGCAGAAACCGAGTGGTCAGCGAGGGTCTGCGTGCCAAGTGCTTGCAGAAGTCAGGCCCGAGAGGGGACAGGAAGTAGCAGGCTGTGGATCTGGACAGAGGGCATCTCGCTTAAGAGACAGGAGTCCTTTTACCTCCCAGAGAGCCTGCGGCGGGGGGGGGGGGGGG